CCGTCTCCCTAACCACGGAGCCAGCGTGAGCCCCCACACACCCGGCCCCCCCGACCCGCCTGCCCGGCGTGGCCGTCTCCCTAACCACGGAGCCAGCGTGAGCCCCCACACACCCGGCCCCCCAGTCCCGCCCGCCAGCGTGGCCGTCTCCCTAACCACGGAGCCAGCGTGAGCCCCCACACACCCGGCCCCCCAGTCCCGCCCGCCAGCGTGGCCGTCTCCCTAACCACGGAGCCAGCGTGAGCCCCCACACACCCGGCCCCCCAGTCCCGCCCGCCGGCCTGGCCATCTCCCTAACCACGGAGCCAGTGTGAACCCCCACGCACCCGGCCCCCCAGACCCGCCTGCCCGGCATGGCCGTGTCCCTAACCACGGAGCCAGCGTGAACCCCCACGCACCCGGCCCCCCAGTCCCGCCCGCCGGCCTGGCCGTCTCCCTAACCACGGAGCCAGCGTGAACCCCCCACACCCGGCCCCCCAGTCCCGCCCGCCGGCCTGGCCGTCTCCCTAACCACGGAGCCAGCGTGAACCCCCACGCACCCGGCCCCCCAGACCCGCCCGCCGGCCTGGCCATCTCCCTAACCACGGAGCCAGCGTGAACCCCCACACACCCGGCCCCCCAGTCCCGCCCGCCGGCCTGGCCGTGTCCCGCTCACACACCCCTAACCACGGAGCCAGCGTGAACCCCCCACACCCGGCCCCCCAGACCCGCCCGCCGGCCTGGCCGTCTCCCTAACCACGGAGCCAGCGTGAACCCCCACACACCCGGCCCCCCAGTCCCGCCTGCCCGGCGTGGCCATCTCCCTAACCACGGAGCCAGCGTGAGCCCCCCACACCCGGCCCCCCAGTCCCGCCTGCCGGCGTGGCCGTGTCCTCTCTCGCAGACGGACCCGCGCGCGAGGGAACGGATTGTGCTCACGGAGCGGAAACACAGAAGAGCAGGGATTAGATTAGTGGCCGCGGAAAGTGCCCACGGAGCAGAAACGGCTAATTGGCGTGGCCTCCCCGGGACGCGGGCGGGCGGGGGAGAGGGGCGCGGCCGTGTGTGCGGACGGACAGACCCCAATTAAGTTAGTCCTCCACCGTGACCCCGTCCCCACAGCTCTGGGCGCTAATGAGGCCGGAGGGAGGCAGCCGCCTGGGTCTGTGTGCGCCTCCCCCTGCCCCCACCGGGCGGGAAGGAGCCGTCAGCTCAGAGACCGCACCGCCGGAGCCGGAGCCGGAGCCGGAGCCGGAGCCGGAGCCGGGGACGCGGGCAGGATGGGCCAGGAGCTGGCCTTCCCCACGGCGAAGCGCCATCACCCCCCCGGACACACACACACACCTGCCCGTGCTTCCCCAGGGGACGCACAGCCTGCCTCGTGCCCGGGGACCACGGCACCCGCACCCGCACCCGCACCCGGCAGCCTCGCCACGGCAGACACGCCCACTATGCCCTCACAGCCGCGGAGACACCGCCTCCTCCTGGAGACCCTCGAGGACCCCCCTCCCACAGACGCCCCTCGGGGACCCCGCTCCCACAGACGCCCCTCGGGGACCCCGCTCCCACAGACGCCCCGAGCGCCGCTCCCGAGGGCGGCCGCGCGTCTTGCCGACAGGACGGGAAGGCCTCGCCTCTGCCGGTGCCTCCCACGCCTCGAGAGGCCCCTGGTGACCGGCCCCACGGCGGGACCTCCCCCGTCCACACAGCCCCTGCCCCACCCGCAGGGCCGGGAGCTGCTCTCCCCGCCACATCCTCCGTGCCCTCCCCCCTGCGGTCCGCACAGCGCGGAGTCTCCATCAGAGACAGTGCCCTCCCGCCCGCCAGCCTCCTGAGCTCCTCAGACGCCGCTCTCAGCCTGTGCACAGGCTCCGGAAAGACAGACAAGACCCCTCCCAGCACATGTGCGGGCTGCCTCCTGCAAAGCAAACTCTGAGACTCTGCCGACACACCGGCATCGGCTCAACCTCGACAAACCCCTCCCGCCCCGAAGCTTAGCAACAGCCACCGCCTGCACGGCCTCGCCGAGCACAGGCCTCTCCTCTCGGAGAGAACAGCGAGCCTCCCCCGGCTCCGCCTCTCAGCGGAGCCTCTCCCAGCCTGCGCACCGGCCACGCGCACCGCGCCCTCCGACAGCTGCCTGCCGGGGGAGGCGGCCTGCCGCCCTGGCACCCGCTCCCGGCTCCTCCTCAGCGCCCGTGAGGGTGCCCGCCCCGCCAGACCCCACGGGAGGAGCGAGCAAGACACTCGGGCACCACAGCGGCCCCTGCAGACAGCACGGACCCCCCCCCCCCCCACACACACACACAGCAGCACAGGGCACACCAGTCTGCGGGCTAGTGAGTCTGGAGAGCTCGCTGGGGACCCGCTCCCAGCCCCTCCCACACGCACAGCCAACGCCGCCCCCAGGGCCCATCTGGCCGGGCGACACCGGCAGTCCCCGGCCTGGCCCAGCGGGCATCGGGGACAGGTGGACCCCCCCAACGCAGCCCCCGTGGCCCTCTCAATTCGTGGCTCCTACCGTCCACGCAGGCGGGCCGCGCCCTCGTGGTGCCCGCGATCTGCCCCTTCCTGCAGGCGCAGCGCGCCGTCTGCCGGGCGATGGTCCTCCGGGGCTGGCTGCTGTCCCGGTCCAGGGTCACGATCTCACAGGTGCCGGCGGCCAGCTGACCTGCAAGAGCAGAGGGTGGACTCAACGGCTGCCTGGAGACCAGCTGCCACGCCACCCCCACCCCCTTGACAAGCCGCCATCCTGCTCCCCGCCCCCCGCCCCGCCCGGCTGCCTGAGGCAGCCTGTGCCCACCCCACCCCCCCCGGGGTCCTGGGTCGGCCACGCAGCCCCGGCTTCACACGCACAGCTGCCCGCGGAGGCCCGCCCTCCCTGCCTGGCTCTGCCCGCCCCTCAGCCAGCAGGAAGCACCTACTGTGCACTGGCCCTGGGCGCACTGAGGGAGCAGAGCCTGCACCCTGGGCCACCTCCCAGCTGGGCGGCCCACCGTCACGTGGGAGGGGCATGGGGCTGCCCGTGCGCTGGGCACAGACAGGGGGCGGAGGTGATGGTGGGCGGGAGGCGGTGCAGGAGGCAGTCCTGGTGCTGGCCGCCGCCTGCCCAGGGCCGGTCCAGGGCAGGATGAGGCGTGGGGGGGGCACTGGGTGCAATGTCGGAGGCGGCCCCCCACACCTGCCCAGCCCGGGGAGCTGCGAGTGGACAGCACAGGTCAGCGCGGCCCCGCCCAGCCACACCCGGCGCTGCCCCGAGGCGTGGGCTCAGGCCCTGCCTCACGCCCGCTAATTACACACAATTACACGCTGTGCTCGGAACACGGCACACACACACGGAGACGTAAATAAACAGGAGGATGACTCGGAGGCCGGGGAGGCCGAGGGTGCTGCTCAGGGCAGCGTGGGGCTCAGAGGCGCGGGAGCCGGGGGCCGGAGGCCGGGGGCCGGGGGCCGGGAGCCGGGAGTCTGGGGCCGGGAGCCGGGGCCGGGGGCCAGGTGCTGGGTCTGCGGGGGCCGCGGGCGGAGGACGGGGGCCGGGTCTGCGGGGGGCCGGGAGCCGGGAGCTGGGGCCGGGGGCCGGGAGTCTGGGGCTGGGAGCCGGGAGTCTGGGGCCGGGAGCCGGGGCCGGGAGCCGGGGCCGGGGGCCGGGGGCCAGGTGCTGGGTCTGCGGGGGCCGTGGGCGGAGGACGGGGGCCGGGTCTGCGGGGGGCCGGGAGCCGGGAGTCTGGGGCCGGGAGCCGGGGCCGGGTCTGCAAGGGCCAGGGGCGGAGGACGGGAGGCTCAGGGCTGCCTGGTGTGCGGTAGCGGCTGCGTGGGTGCCGTCCGGCTGCTGCTATTTCGGGTTTCCGGGGTGACGGAGCTATTCCTGGTCCTCGCCGCCCGCCCTCCGCTGACCGCGGGCCCCTCGGTCGGCAGTGCCGGCGGGGCCTCCTCCGGGGACCGGCTCGCTCTGAGCCCCGGCTGCTGAATAACTGAGCAAACGACGGGCCTGTGCCCCCCCCCCCCCCCCCCCCCGGCTAACGAACCACCTCCGGCACCCGCTGTGGGGACACTGCCCGGGGCACCACCGCTCCGGCCGGAGCCGCCATAGGGGGCACCACAGGGTCTGTCCGGGCCCCCCCTCCCAGCCCCGCCCAGCCCCGCCCTGCTCACCCCCTCAATCCCTCATTCCTGGCGTCGGGCTGGTTCAGTGCAGACTGTCCCTCCCCCCGTGCCTGGCCCAGCCCCCCCCACGCCCGCCCCCCTGCGCAGTGGGGGCCTTGAGGGCTGGCAGAGGTGCTGACCCTGATCCTGGGAGCTAAGGGGCAGACGCACCACACCCACCAGCTCCACCCCCGGCTCCACCACGCCCTCCTCGGACCCGGGACCCAGCCCCAGCATCATCTCCCAACCATGTCTCCGGATGCCCCTCCTCCCCCCGTGTCCTCAGCACAGACACCCCGTTCGTCGGCCGCCGGAGCCGTGGATCTGCGGGAACCGGTGAGCCGCTGATGAGGTCTGACAGGCGTGTGAGGGCGTCCGTGCCGGCTGTGGGGCCGAGGGCGGGGCGGGTGCCCAACAGGAGAGGGGGCCCTGTGGGACCCGCATGGACTCAGGGCTGAGGGCGGCCTCTGGGCCGCGCCGGGAGCAGGGGAGGCCAGAGGGAGGCCCGCAGGCCCAGTGCTCGGTGCTGACCACACACGTGCTCCTGCCGGGAAGGGCTACAGGGCGTGGCAGCCTGGGTAGCGTGGAGGCCAGGGGCACACGTGGCATCTGCCCGCGCCCGGCCTGCCGTGTGGTGCGGTCGGAAGCTGCTGCCATGGGCCCGCAGCACCGCCCGGAGACAACCCCGCGGCCGTAGACGCCCCCTCTGACGTCAGCGTGGGAACAAGCCCATGAGACCCCGAGTCTGTGCCCACTGACCCGCCACGCAGAGACCGCTGCCGGCTTTTCCCGCGCGGCTCCTGGCGCGGCTGCGGGGAGGGCGCCACACCCGGGCACACGGTGTGAGGGCCACAGGGAGGACCCGGCACCGCGGGGCGTGACCCTGGGGCCAGGCCTGAGGACCCGCCGCCCCGGTGCTGTCCATGGTGCTGACGCGCCAGTCTCACCCTTTCAGCGGACACTGTCCCTCATCTCCTGCCCGGGCCCTGGGGAGCCAGGGCCCTGGCTCTGGAGCCGACCCGGGCCGCCTGGAGGGCCGAGGGACCTGGGCTCTGACGGGGCGGAGCCACCGTGAGGGGCCGGCCTGGGACACCGGGAACCGAGCTCCCCCCCACCCCCCCACCCCCGGGGCCGCGGGACTTCCCCGGGAAGCAGCGCCCACACGGGAACCCGAGATCTGGCCTGGCCTGTCCTTCCGGGCCCGCAGGACAGAAGGCAGCTGCAGGCACAGCTGCCCGCTCTCCGCTCCCTCTCCCCTTTCTCTCTGCCCACTCCCCCTCCCCTCCCCTCCCCTCCCCCTCCGCCTGTGGAAGGCCACCCAGGACTGGTGGCTCCCAGGGAGGACCGGGGCTCCGGCTCAGATGGGGCGTTGGGACAACCCTCTCCCGCGTGGTGGGCACCCCACTGGCCGACCGGCTTCCAGCTGGGAGGAGGAGTGACCGATGGTGGCTGCACTGGGCAGTCAGCTGGGAGGGTCACCTGAGGGTCAGCTGGGAGGTCACCAGGGAGGGTCAGCTGGGAGGTCACCAAGGAGGGTCAGCTGGGAGGTTTGCTGGGAGGGTCACCTGAGTGTCAGCTGGGAGGTCACCGGGGAGGGTCACTGGGAGGGTCACCGGGGAGGTCACCAGGGAGGGTCAGCTGGGAGGGTCACCTGAGGGTCAGCTGGGAGTGTCAGCTGGGAGGTCACCAGGGAGAGTCAGCTGGGAGGTTTGCTGGGAGGGTCACCTGAGTGTCAGCTGGGAGGTTTGCTGGGAGGGTCACCTGAGTGTCAGCTGGGCGGGTCACCAGGGAGGGTCACTGGGAGGGGTCACCGGGGAGGGTCACCAGGGAGGGTCAGCTGGGAGGTCACCAGGGAGGGTCAGCTGGGAGGTTTGCTGGGAGGGTCACCTGAGTGTCAGCTGGGAGGTCACCTGGAGAGTCACCTGAGTGTCAGCTGGGCGGGTCACCAGGGAGGGTCAGCTGGGAGGGTCAGCTGGGAGGTCACCAGGGAGGGTCAGCTGGGAGGTTCGCTGGGAGGGTCACCTGAGTGTCAGCTGGGAGGTCACCGGGGAGGGTCACTGGGAGGTCACCGGGGAGGGTCACCTGGAGGGTCAGCTGGGGGCCTCTCCCATGCGACCAGCAGTCACCTCCCTGGAGCTCACCCTCGTTGAAGTGGAAGCGTGTCCACACGGCCCCGCACACGGCCCCGCACACGGACGTCACAGCGGCGTCCCCCCAGGACAGCCAGCCCGCCCGGTGGTGGGGGTCCTCCCGGGGCGCAGGGTGAGCACGCGGAGGCCTGAGCTGGCAGACGCGGGAGGACGCAGGAGAACGAGGGAGGACGCGGAGGAGCCGTACGACGCGGACTGAGCGACAAGCCAGGCTGAGCGTCTGCACTGCGGGTCCCAACGCGGCGATGTTCCGGAAAGAGCCACGGGGACGAGATTCGCAGGGAGGACAGAGCGGGGGGAGGGTAGGGGGCGGAGGGACAGAGGGAGGGAGGAGATGCAGGCGTTTCCTCTGGTGAAGCTGCTTTCTGTGAGGCTGTGGGGTGGATGCAGGGCACTGGGCATCTTTCAATCACCGCCCGGCCAGTGTGAGCATCGACCTGTGAACCAGGAGGTCAGGGTTCAATCCCAGGTCAGGGCCCAGGCCCGGGTTACCGGCTCCATCCCCTGTGAGGGTGCAGGAGCAGCTGGTCCGTGACTCTCACCTCCTGGTGTGTCTCGCTCCCCCTCCCTTCCTCTCTGGAATCAGTGAGTGTTAGCAAACAGCCGTGCTTTTTAAACGGTGACACACCACACACAGGCAGCTCTCCGGCACCGAGGACGACACACACGGAATCCCGTCTCCCGCTTCCCAGCTCAGCTCAGCCATCACCCCATCCGCTCTGTGTGCAGCCGTCCACCATCATCTCCAATACACACTCCCCCCGCCCGGGCCCCCCACTTCCTGTCTCTGTGCCTGGGGCTCCTGTGTGCGCCCCTCTGCTGGCTTACGTCACTAAGCGTGACACCGCTGACGTTTCTCTCTCTCACCCGCTTCTTCCCTGACGTCAATAAATATATATCCCACATAATAAAAGCCTAATATGCTACCTGTCCGGTCACCCATCTGTCCATTTGACCAATCGAAGTACAATATGCTAATGACATGCTAAGTCCGCTCAAGCGCTCGCTATGATGTGCACTGACCACCAGGGGGCAGATGCTCCAACTGGTAGGTTAGTTTGCTGCTGGGGTCCGGCCAATCAGACTGAGCAAGGCGTGCTGGACACGCCCTGGAGCCCTCCCGTGGTCCCTCCCAGGCCCCGATCATGCACCAGTGGGGTCCCTCAGCCTGGCCTGGGACCCCTCGGGGAGTGTTTGGTTTGATCCTGCAGGCCAGGATGAGGGACCCCACTGGTGCACAAATTCACATACCGGCCTCTAGGGTGTATATAATGACCATTGGGGACTGCAGCTCAGGGAGCCCGACCCCTTTGTGCCCCGTGTCAGCCCCGTCCTGTCAGCCACGTCCTGTCAGCCCCATCCTGTGTCAACCCCA